GGTGTGACTATTCTGCAACACGGAAATCTCATTTACACGATCATCTCACAAAACACACCGGTGAAAAACCGTACATGTGTGGGGAGTGTGGGTACAGGACAGCTTTGAAGTCTACCTTATCCCAACACATGAGAACCCATACAGGAGAAAAACCCTACAAGTGTGACCAGTGTGACTATTCTGCAGCACGGAAATCTCATTTGGAGGAACATGTAGCAAAACACACTGGTGAGAAACCCTACATGTGTGGGGAGTGTGGGTACAGGGCGACTTACAAGTCTACATTATCTAAACACATGAGAACCCATACAGGAGAAAAACCATACAAGTGTGACCAGTGTGACTATTCTGCTGCACAAAAAGCTAATTTAGACTATCACCTCACTAAGCACACAGGTGAGAAACCCTACATGTGTGGGGAGTGTGGATACAGGGCAACGCTGAAATCTACCTTATCCCAACATATGAGAAGACATACAGGAGAAAAACCCTACAAGTGTGACCAATGTGACTATTCTGCAGCATTTAAATCAAGTTTAGCCCGACATCTAGCAAAACATGCCGGTGAGAAACCCAACATGATTGGGGAGTGTGGGTACCGGGCAGCTGAAAAGCACCACTTATCCCAACATATGAGGACCCATACAGGAGAAAAACCCTACAAGTGTGACCAGTGTGACTATTCTGTTGCACAGATATGTAATTTAGACAGACATCTATTAAAACACTCTGGCGAGAAACCCTACAAATGTGACCAGTGTGACTATTCTGCAGCAGAGAAATCTGATTTGGACAAACATCTAGCAGCACACACCAGTGAGAAACCCTACATGTGTGGGGAGTGTGGATACAGGACAGGTGACAGGTCCAGCTTATCCCGACATATGAGAGCCCATACAGGAGAAAAACCCTACAAGTGTGATCAGTGCGATTATTCTGCAGCACAGAAAGACACCTTAGATAATCATAAAGCAAAACACAACGGTGAGAAACCCTACATGTGTGGGGAGTGTGGATACAGGACAGCTGCGAGGTCCAGCTTATCCCGACATATGAGAACCCATACAGGAGAAAAACCCTACAAGTGTGACCAGTGTGACTATTCTGCAGCACGGAAATCTCATTTAGACTCACATCTATTAAAACACACCGGTGAGAAACCCTACATGTGTGGGGAGTGTGGACACAGGACAGCTCACAAGTCTGACTTATCCAAACATATGAGAACCCATACAGGAGAAAAACCCTACAAATGTGACCAGTGTGACTATTCTGCAGCACAGAAATTTCATTTAGACCGACATCTAGCAACACACACCGGTGAGAAACCCTACATGTGTGACCAGTGTGACTATTCTGCATCATGGAAATATGCTTTGGACAAACATCTAGCAACACACACCGGTGAGAAACCCTACATGTGTGAGGATTGTGGGTACAGGACAGCTGACAGGTCCAACTTATCCAAACATATGAGAACTCACACAGGAGAAAAACCTTACAAGTGTGACCAGTGTGACTATTCTACAGCAGAGAAATCTGCTTTAGACAAACATCTAGCAAAACACACCGGTGAGAAACCCTACATGTGTGGGGAGTGTGGGTACAGGACAACTTTCAAGTCTTCTTTAGCCCGACATATGACAACCCATATAGAAGAAAAACCCTACAAGTGTGACCAGTGTAGCTATTCTGCAGCCTCTAAGACTTCCCTAACTCGACATATGAAAATTCACACGGAGGCACCAAGTCTGCAACTGTGACCATGTTTCTATCTTAATACTAAGTCTGATATATGATATATCACATGAATATTCAAAAACATTTAGGAAAAATAGTTTGTTAGAGTATTAATTGCAAAGAGCCAAAGGTTTTGCCTAGGAAATGTTTAAATCCATTTGTCTGCTATATTTCTAAAGGATGTACATGCATAACTATAGGCCACACCAATTTAATTTGCTGGTTCTTGTTTTTTTTTATAAGTTAAAAATATGAAGCGACAGGGTGAAAAAATAAAATACAGGTATAGGCAACCTGTTATAGCCCCAAAATGGCCAAATGCTATGATAGGAGCCATGAAGTCAACACACAAGGCTGGGTTAATAGTAAAACAAAACATTTTGAACTTTAATCAAACCCCTGCATTGATAAATGAAAAAAAAACTGTAATGGATATGAAGAAATATGAAAGAAATAGGAAGAAAAGGACTTTTCTCAATATGAGCATTTTTAGATGATTCAGAAATCAGAATCTTTTTTTTTTCAAATCAGAAAAAAATGAAGAGGCAAATCCAAGAACCATCAAATTAAATTGGTGTGGCCATAACTTACTTCAAACTAAATCGGAGGATCAGAGTTAAGTTATAAGCAAACTAGAGAAGTAACATTTGCATTTAGCAAATGCATAATGTTTACCTTTGGACTTGGTCTGCTCTGTTAATTCTTACTCAAACACATTCACATACATGTACTACTAGTATATGGTGAGAGGAGCAGAGCAGACCATGAAATTGCAACATTATGTAACCCAACACCAGTCACCATGGTGACAGACGTCAACAAATCATGTCATTAGTAGGTCAGAGGTCACTGGAGAAGAAGAGGAAGAAACTGAGTAAAAACAATGTGTTTTCCTTCTGTAAACATAATAACAATGCTTCAGTTCACTACTATTGTATTACTAGTATTAACATTGCTTATGTTTAGTTGTTTACCATAACTTATAGTTACATGTAGTATAAGTAGGAAAATTTCTGTAGCAGCTCAAAAATTGCAAATTTTTTAGTGAACATGTTCACACTTTCAATATGTGTGGAAACTAGTATATTCATTATAACTCCATGTACATTTCGTACTTCAATAAACACTATCTTGTTAATAATGTTTTAAACTTTAGCCTTTGTTGCTTAATGATTTCTTTTTGGCTAGTTTTAGGTTCCTTTCTATAGAGACCACCTGTCTGTAGTGACCAAATTGCTTTTATTAATAGTCCCTTGAGTGGTCTTTATAGGCAGGTTTGACTGTACTTAAAACAAGATTAGGCCACACCAATTTAACTTCTTGGTTAACGGATTTTTCTAGAAAAATAATGGAGCGGGCGGGCGAAAAAAAAAATAAAAATAAAAACAGGCCTAGGCAATCTATTATGGCCCAAAATGGTACTATAGGAGCCATGAAGTCAACACACCAGGCTGGTTCAACATTTAAACAATGAATTTTGAACTTTTCCATGATACCATTGCATTGAAAGATGGAATAACTGTCACAACTAGGATGAAAGGGTCTGTTTTCAACTGTTCAGGGCAAAATATGAGCATTTTGCAGTTAATTCTGGATTTTTATTTTTATTTGCAAATCAGAAAAAAATGAAGCGGCGAATCCGTTAACCAAGAAATTAAATTGGTGTGGCCTTAAGACTAGAGAGGTAACAGTTGCAAAGAAAATGCATAATGTTTACCTTCCCATATGGTCTGCTATGTTCATTCTTGCTCAAGCACATTCACACAAATGTATATGATGACTGGAGTCAAAATGCCTCCTGCTGTAAAATTGCAACATGATGTAACCCAACACCAGTTACCATGGTGACAGATGGTCTGGTTCAGGTCATTGGCCAGGTCAGAGGTTAGTGTTTGAAACAGAAGAAGAAACAGAGCAAAAACAATATGTTTTTCTACAGTAAACATGAATACTAATATAGCCATTGTGTAGATAACTCGACGAATATACCAAAAAATAATATTAAGCTTAACAACAGTATATTATATACAAGAAAACATGGACTTAAATTTATATTTTAAGGTGAAGTAAAGATCAGAACTTAGAAGTTTTTGAGATATAACTAAAATGATATAGTTATAGATGGTAAATACTGAACATACAACAAAATGTGTATTTTAGTTACTGAAAACTGGCATCATAATTTGTGTATTTTGTCTTCTACCGGATTTCATCCAAAGTTAGTAAGAAATCCGGCCTCAGAAACCTTTAGACCACCCCCAGCAGTTTGTTGCCCCGCCCCGTGGGTTCGCAGTGATCGGTGCGCGGGTTGGAGCCGAACTGCGGTGCGAGACCGTACCGCAAGGGTTGTCGGGAAGGAGCGGGAAACATGGCCGCCGAAAATACTTCTAGTAGTAAACAAAAGGCCGAAAAGTCGACTTAACGAGTTTCTACCAGCGTTTCTGTGGTCAGAAGGCGGATAACAAGTGCAAAGTAGGAAGGAGACAATACAGAGGACATACAGGTGAGTCTGAGTTGCGATTGTAGGTATCTAGAAGGATTGAAAGTTGATTTTTTTTTACCTCTGGCACCCCCCTCCCCTCAAAATTTTATTTTGAAAAGCCCAATGGAAGAAATTAATCTATTGTTTAGTCTCTCCAGATCCAGGTAACATGTCCAGTATGTCAGTAAAGTCTGGTGAGAAACGTAGCCTGGACCAAGAAAAGGAATGGTGAGGTTCTGTTTGTTAACTTTGTTTGTTTTACATAAGCGGTAAACTACCTTTACTAGTACACATGTACTTGACATGATGTAGATGTAACAAACCAGTTTTGAACAGTAAGGCCACACTGACTTAATTTTATGGATGACATCCGCGCGCGCATTGATTTTGGCCTGTCGCCCTCAAAAAAAAAAAAAAAGATCACCTCCACCGAGGCTCTGGCCTAGTCTTAGGCCTGGTTAGTCCATGGTAGTCAGTGACAAAACGAAGCCGGGCACCCAGGCTATCGAATTCGAAGCTCCACGACTCAAGAACTCAGTACATAAGTACAGTACCGATTCATAAATGCCGCAAAAAGCTGGCATGTGCCGGCTTGCCGTATACTAGTACATGATCGCTAAGTCCTGTCGCAAATTCACAATACCAGCTTTGTATTCCTGTGGTTTAGTAGCATTTTTATTTTTGGCCGGATTTTTTTTTTATTCGCCCGCGCGCACTAGTTTGGGGGTCTTCAGAGGATGTCATCCATAAAATTAAATCGCTGTGGCCTAAGTACAACTAAGTGTAAGGTTTGAACAGAAAGATATAGTACATTATATTTTAGACTTTTCAAACTGGATAAAAATTTTAATAAGCAAACATTTCGGGTGTTGTTCCGACACCCTTCATCAGTAAATATTTACAAAAGTTTGAAGTTTGAACCAGTCAACCCCCCCCCCAGGAGGAAGATAGAATGGAAGAAGAAGTTGAGGAGGTTTGAGAGAGCGGAGGAAGAGATGAAAAAGTTCCCGTTAGGACCTCAGTACAAGCCTGGGTGAGGGGAGGCTAATCTGTACACAATGCTGACTTTTATTTTTTATTTTTATTTTATTGGTTCAGCTGTACAAAAGACAGCCAGGGTTGCCCAACTAGTTACTAAACTACAGTATTTTAAAGGGATAACCCTGGAGACAAGGACAACAAGCTACATAAGACGAGTACAGGACATTAAAATTTAAAATCATCAATTCATTAGATCTATAGGATTTCATCTATAGGATTTACTGTACACATATATCATCACAATATTACATATATTGTATTAACAGGAATATTTTCTACCACTTACTAGTACTGATTCATGCTGAGATAAGGAACTACATTTTTTGCGCGAACTAAAATGTCTGCTGTTCCAGGCTGCGGTGTCCCTCCCCTGTGTGGAGGCTGTTTCCCAGACAGAAGCTAGCCTTCGATTTCGCTCGGTGCTGCAAACAGGTGGGGATGGCTCTTGTCAGATTCATGTATGAACTAGAGATCGAAGTAACATTTGCAAAGCAAATGCATAATGTTTACCTTGTTACACGGTCTGCTCTTTTAAATCTTACTCAAACACATTAACATACATGTACTACTAGTATATGGTGACAGGAGCAGAGCAGACCATCAAATTGCAACATTATGACACCCAACACCAGGATGCATGTTTTTTCCTACGCCTACATTATATGATGTAATTCCCTGATGCAAACTACTTTGAGTTTGATGTCTTCTTCTAACTTAGTTGTTGTTTTTCGTTCCAGGATGTCCATGTGTTTTCCTGTGAAGTGGAGGGGGAAAGTGAACAGGGGCAGAGGAAATATCTGGTCACTACATACGAACAGTTCTGGGATATGTACAGGTAGGTCTGAACAGTTCTGGGAGATGTACAGGTAGGTCTGAACAGTTCTGGGATATGTACAGGTAGGTCTGAACAGTTCTGGGAGATGTACAGGTAGGTCTGAACAGTTCTGGGATATGTACAGGTAGGCATTGGGCCATGATGCAGCGTGCAAATTTTACTTGGGGCAACCTATTTTTGAACCAAGGTAGCCCAGTGTGCTACCTGAATTTTAAGAATGCCCCCCCCCCAAAAAAATTGCACCACTGTATCTGGCAGATGCTTTTTAACTGTAGGAATTAATGGCTATTACTAGTATCAGTTAACTAAAGGCCATTAGAAACATTGTCAAAGGCTTATGTATGTAACATTACTTAATTTGAGGAAAGTAGTTTAGGTATAGGTGGGGCAACCTAAAATTATGATGGGCAACCTAATTTTTGCCATAGGGCAACCTGGTTCAAAAAAGTATTTTGTACAATGTTACTTTCCATATTTCCACAGTGTTTTACATCCTGACCTGGACGGCCATTTCTATGAGGTCATCCCAGAGGGCGCGACCTGTCACCTGCACTTTGACCTGGAGTTCAGCAAGGTCGTGAACCCGGGGTCAGACGGGGTCACCATGGTCAGCACTCTCATCAGGGTGGGTTAAATTAACCTTCCTGCAGCTAAGGGTGTACTAAGGGTGCACCAAGGTGGTTGGTTCTCGGATTTTCAATGGTTAAAACTTATACTTATTGCAGGTAAAATGGTTGCCAATTTTCAATTTTGTTCGGATGGACAGCAGTCTATAAGGGCACATTTGCAGAAAATATTTTGGAATTGTGGAACAATATTTTGTCATTCTGCAATATTGCAGAGTACTGAAAAAAGTAATTCTACAACTGATGTTGGTTTATGCTGACATCCCACATAAGTCTTCTCCTCCTTACAGTTTGTCTGCTGGTCCCTTAAGAAAAAGTATGACCTTGACTGCACAGAGGAACATGTACTTGACCTTGAGTGAAGGTCAGTGGATTCATAACTGCTTTTCAGAATCATACGAACAACTTTTCCTCATTTTCTTGATATATACTTTTCTTCGTATAGTACTGTGAATCTGTTTTATACTATTGCATTTTTTTTGCACTTTTTAATTGCATAATCCATTGAGGGTTTTTTTCAAATTATATATATGTGTTAAGTTTGTTTGTTTGTTTGTTTTTAGCACAGAGGAAAAGTTCAGTCATCACCTGATTTTCCACCTACCAGGAGCGGCCTTTCAGGACAATATACATGCAGGTGAGGGCTTGTTTGTTTGTTTGTTTGTTTCTTTGTTTCTTTGTTTGTTTAGGGCTCGAAATTCATTTTGGGAATAGGTGCACTGGTGCACCGAACCTGAAAATTGGGCGCACAACAAAGTTTTTGTGTTCACCATATAAAACAATATGAGTAGAATGTCAGCAAAAGCTAATTATGTTTTATTTCCAAAGAAAAGTACAGTAACAATGATTTGCCAGATGCTATCTATGTAGAGGTGGTTACCTGTACAGGTTTTACTTGTACTTTTGTTGATGGAACGAAGGATGAAATTGATTTTCAGTAAAAAAAAAAATTTTTTCAGTTTTTACGGAGTCAAAGTTGCACTTAGATGTTAAACATTTTTGGGTGCACTGGAAAAGAAGATCAAAATTAGGTGCACTAAGGTGTAGCCTGACTGAACCTCGCTTTAAAAAAACAAAGGGAGGCCAAGTGGCAAACTGATGAAATTTTCCTTTTTTTTCTCCAGGCAACTTTATCCATGAGATGTGTGACAAGCTGCACCAGCACACTGAGCAGCAGCGCCCCCACGCAGGGGATGTGGAACTGCAGGGGCTGAGAGAGGCAGTGCCGGGGTTGGACCAGCTGTTTGTGGACAACAAGGATGGGGAGAAAGTCTTATTCATAGATACAGGTGAGAAATAGATACATGTAAACAGAGCAGTAGTTACTTAAGCTCATACCTGGGCTGCAATTACGTTTGATACAGGTGTTCTGTACTGGGTCGTACTTTACAGTATGGCCTGGACTTCCAAATGTTTCATAGAACGATTCGAGCGCGTTTCGCCCTAACCGCGCTCACGGCATTCGAAAATTTGAATACAAAATCGGGACGTTGGAATTGATGTTGTTGCATTTTTTTGGGTTTAGGGACACCAAATTTCTCTCATTTCGCATTGAAAGGCGTGTTTTCGTGGGTGGGTATGACATAAATAAAATACAACACGATGTATTCTGTATCACCCTCGGTCCCAGCCCTCCCGCGGATCGGATCACCCTCCGGCCTTCGGGCGATCCGACGCGCGGTCGGGCTGGTACCTCGGGCGAAACAGAGTACCCCGTGTTGTATTCCATATGTATTTGCTGTACTCTCTAGTTTGAATTTCACTTTGTTTCCCACCCAGGAGTGTACACGAAGAACAGGAACTTCCGGCTGTACAAGAACACGAAGCTGGGCAGGCGTGCGCCTCTGCTGCTGGCACCAACCTGCAAATACAGGCCACAGCACAGCAAGGCATGCTGGGACAGGCCACAGCACCACAGCAAAGCATGCTGGGACAGGCCACAGCACGGCAGCAAAGCATGCTGGGACAAACAGGTCTTTTTGGACTCCCTTGTTAGCAATGTGAGGTAAGTATGCCTTTAAGTACCAGAGTTATCAACCAAGGATTGAGGTGTTCAAGAATTCATTCTTTCCTAGAACTATCGCAGAGTGGAACTCACTGTCACCAAGTACAGTAGGGGCATTGTCATTAGATAGCTTTGAACAATGTCTAGAGTTAGAAGTTCAAGGGTTAGGTGTAACAAGTCCATTGGTGTAATATAGCCAGCTGCCGCCGCGCTGCGTGCCTGCGAAGCTGGTGTGTTACGCTGAAAGGTTTTTTTGTACCTTAGTGTAACTGCTGGTGAAATGAATAAACTGAAACTGAACAAGTTTTTTTTTAACCTTTTCTTACAGGTTTTCCCCTGACCTGAAAGTTTTGCGATGTGAGAACATGAAAGGTTTGACCAGCAGAGTTAGAACCAGCTGTGTGGATGGAAACAACAGTTCAGGCAGGGACAACAGAAAAGTGGAAGGTGCTGTCTTCTTATGTTCATTCATATCAGTATACATCTGTGTCCATAATATCACCAGGGTCCATAATAGAAATAGTGTGCCTTTAGAAATAGTGTGCTTAAAGATATTTTTACTGCAACATACCCTAGGTATGTACATTTGATGTGTGAAGGAGTGCATATTAAAAGTATGTTGCAGTAAAAATATCTTAAAGCACACTATTTCTCAAGGTGGTGATATTATGGACCCTGGTGATATTATGGACACAGATGTTATATTTATGTTCAGATAGCTTTACATAATGTTTAGAGTTGGATGTTCAAGGGTAAGGTGTAATGAATTGTTACAGTTTTCCATATATCAATGCAGTGGTTTTATTAAGTTCAAAATTCATTGTTTACATTTTAAACCAGCTTGGTATGTACTGACTCCATGTCTCCTATTTTAGCATTTTGGGCTATCGTAGGATGCCTAGACCTGTTTTTATTTATTTTTTTGCCCAATTGCTTTGTATTTTTTCTGAATGAATCCAAGAACCAAGAAGTCAAATTGATGTGGCCTAATGTATCTTAATTTTACTATAAAACTGGTTCATTTTGTATCCTGCACAGAGTCAGGCCAGCTGTCAGGTTGCAGCAGCTCCCCCTACCCAGAAGTGGATGCCTACGTGGTACTGCAGGCATGCAGGGGGGGAGTTCAGGGGGCCATCAGGCAGTGGACATACTTCTCACAGGGCGAGGTTTGTTTGTTTGTTTGTTTGTTTTGCATAACTTGTTGACCATTTTAAGGCATAACACACCCATTTTGTACAGTAGGTACAAGCTACATAAATGGAAATGAAAAGAAACCTGTTCACAATGAATTTTGAACTTTTAATGACACCATTGCATTGAAAGATGGAATAACTGTAACACCTAGGAAGAAAAGGACTGTTTTTAACTGTTCAGGGCAAAATATGAGGATTTTGCAGTTGATTCTGAATTTTTATTTTTGCAAATCAGAAAAAAATGAAGCGGGCAAATCCGTTAACCAAGAAATTAAATTAGTGTGGCCTAACCACAAGAAAACTTTTTCCAGGTGCTGATGTACGACATTGCTCACAACCGCTGGTGTGAGAACATCGGCCGACCACACAGGAGCAACCACGTCATGTAGGGGCTTTTTTATTTCTATGTTTACCGAAGGAAAACGTATTGTTTTTGCTCAGTTTCTCCCTCTTGTTCTCCAAACATTGACGTCTGACCTGACTACTGACGTGATTTGTTGACGTCTGTCACCATGGTGACTGGTGTTGGGTTACATAATGTTGCAATTTTGCTGCTCCTGTCACCATATACTAGTAGTACATGTATGTGAATGTGTTTGAGTAAGAATTGACAAAGCAGACCATGTCCGAAGGTAAACATTATGTATTTGCTTTGCAAATGTTACCTTTCTAGTCCTTGTTGTTGTTTTCCAGGCTCGTAGCTGACCTGAAACGTTGTGTGATGTACCAGAAATGTCACGATCCTGTCTGTCGGGCACAGAACTACAAATCACCAGGTAAAACACATCATTTTCCCTCTCTTTTTTTTCTTATTCTTCTTCTTCCAATATAAAAGGTCCAAGACCTGGAACATGTGTTGGAGTAAGAATAAACAGAGCAGTACTTTATTGCACTAGACCATGTGAAAACATTATGTGAAACTTTCTAGTTTCTATCTTTCTAAATAACAGATGCAACAAAGTCCTGCTATCTAGGCACATTAGCTGGCCATGTCAGCTGACTAATTTTAGTGCCTGTATAATTTTTATCTCCACAGAAAGGCCCCTGCCTGCTGAAATTCTGCCTGCATTCATTCTGGAAGAGGTGAGTTTGTTTCACATGGTACTTTGAATCAAAGGCGATCAGTGTATGATATGCTGACAAATAATTGTGCTTCTGTTTTTTCTCTCTTTCTCATACTAAATACTTGAGACAAGCTAGCATAAAGCTTTTGCAATAGCTGCTAGCGCAATGCGATTTCACTATGGCTTTCATTTACAGCATTAAACCATCTGACAACCAGTTTTCTCCACTCTTCTTGGTTTCCTGCTATTCTTATTGTTTCACTATTTGCAGATGCATGCGGTCTCTCTATATCCAGTTATTATTAAATGAATGAATGAAAGACCTTTATTGTAGGTTTGTGCTCCTACAAGCTATTATGTAAGTACAGGTCATGAATAAAAAAGGAAAAGGATACAGCAATAACACTTAAACTATACATACTAATGTGGTCTACTAATGAATGATTTTTGGCTCGATTTTTGACTCACTAAGGACGAGCTCTGGGATTCGGGACTGGAGGATGAAGACTTGCTCTCAGCTCTGTCATCTCAGGAGCGATCGTACGCGGAATTACGAAAGGATTCTGACCCAGATTCTTGGGACACTGACGGGCAAGAACCGTCGGACCAAGACTTGCTTGCCGCGAGCAATTTGGTGACGGTGATAGCAGCCAAACGTGACAGAAATTTCGGGACAATGACAGCAGCCAAATGTGAAGGAAATTTGGCAATGGTGACAGCATCCAACTGTCAAAGAAGGGCTGAGGTAGACAGTTGGGAAGTGTCTGACGATGACTTGCTTCTAGCTGCAAATCATTTCCATAGCAACAATCGCCATGGGAACACGCACACGACTGTCGCGGTCACGGAACAGGGGAGTCGCCATGTTGGCAAGGATTCTGGGAAAATAGAAACAACAACAACAACAGTTGACAACAACAATCGCCATGGGAACACGGAAACAACAACTGTTGACAACTGCGATGTTTCTGACGACGATCTGCTACTAGCTGCAACACAGTGTTGCTAGGCAACAGTTACCATGGTAACATAACAGGCGTTGATGACTGCGAAGTTTCTGACACAGGTGCGCAGTGTTGCCATAGTGATAACTAAAGGAACATGCTAGTAACTGTCGGAACCTCCTTGATGAGACATAATTTCTCACAGAAAAGTCAAGAACATTAACACAGAATTTAATGCCATGGTGTAAATGTGAGATTTATCTTTTAGCAGACAACTTTTATGATAACAAATGTTTTATTTCTCTTTGTAAGATTTTTGTACAGCCTTTCTTTTATGTTTCATAAAAGCCCAAGCTCTGGTTTGAAAGTTGTGGGACCTGATAAATACCTTAAAATCCTCTACCTTAAAATTAATAGTAATACCTGTCTTCATGACTTTCTTGTGAGTTTTGACTGTCTGGCTGTCCTGACCAGGTCTGACTGTTCCTGGCACATACACAGGCTCTATTTTTAAATTCCATACATAGTGTCTGTAGCCAGGTCTGTGTCTGTCTCAGTGTCTGGCTGTCCCCACCAGGTCTCTTCTCTTGGGTGTCTCTCAATAAATCGTGGCATGAAGCCTCCCACCCCGTCTCTGGCACAAGATGTGCATGCTCTATTTTTAAACCTGATACAGGGCTGGAAATACTGGGTGCATGTGCACCTTAGTGACCCAAATTTGGAGCTGTGCACCCAACTTTTTTCTGTGGGTGCACCAGTGGACTCAGATATTTTCCTAAGTTTACATATGTAAACATGTTGGTGGTTACATGTATGGTTACTGTAGTGTACAGCATATTCTAAGTGTCAGAAAAATAATAAAATCATTGCTGTAATACTTTTCTTTAGAAATGAAACATAATTTGTTTCGTTTGCTGACATACTACCTAATTTATTTTATATGGTGCCCCCCCCCCCCCAAAAAAAATAATGTGTGTGCACCCAATTTGATAGGTTAGGTGTACCAGTGCACCTATTCCTATAATAGACCCCTTCGACTTTCACGGATCGCATAAACTGCTTACGTCACAGGGGGGACATTTCGAAAGAACGTCGTTCTAGAACGCTAAAGTCGAACGCGGCTTGCGCTCGCGGTGTCCCCCCTGGCAGATCATTTTTTTTACTAAAAGGTAGATAAGTGTCTATTTTCTCGGTAATATATGCGGAAATGACAGGAAAACAGGCACCAACTTTGTATGGTGGCATTCCGTACAACAATTTAAGGTTATTTTGTTCTGTGACGTATGCAGTTTATGCAATCCGTGAAAGGAACTTTCGAAATGTCCCCCCTGTGACGTAGTTTCTATTCGAAATGCCCCCCCTGTGACGTAAGCAGTTTATGCCATCCGTGAAAGGCGAATGGGTCTATTGAATTTCGAGCCCTGTCATGTCAGAGCCCTACTAACATTGTGTCTGTATCCTTACAACCTCTACCAGGCTTCATCAGAGACGGCTGGAAAGAATAGAACTTGTGCCAAATAGACAGATAACTTGCTTGGGGAGTTGGTCTGCCATTTATTAAAGGAGTACAGTTTTTTGGGAGCAGCAAATATATGTCCAATGTCCAACACCAAACACGAATTAAAACAAAAAACAAAAAGAACAATGAGACTGAAACTTTTAATTACAGAATGTAAATTGTAGTCTTATGTCAAGAGTTCATCAATTGACTTTACTATAGGTTCACTCTTTTAGTTGCAACTAAGATCACAGTAAGATGTGATATAAGTATTGGTAGTGTACTTATGTTAAATGATAACAAAAAGACATTAAAGTTAGAAATATCAATTTAAAAAAAAAGTCATTTGGTGAGTAAGTCAAAAAGTGATTGGTCCCAACATCCACAGCATTACTTCATTATAAAAATGTGTTATATAATTAGTTGACAACGAGTTCTTTTCTGCAGTTTTCCTTGGTTCTATCATTTCTTGCAATATTGGTCCCAACTCCAACAACCTAACATTGTTATAAAAAGTGCTCAGTACATTGTTGACAACAAGTTAAAGTCCTTCATTTTACCACGGTTTTATCGGAACCCGGTGCATTTCTGATGGATGACTCGCATGTCTGTTTGAATCTTGGTCTGCCGCGTGCTGATTTCGTTGTCATATTCGCAGAAGGGCTGGTCCAGAACGGTCTGGTAACACTGGTACAGCTCCATCTGTACTCTGTGCAGGAACAAAAAGAGATGTGTCATGCAGATCAAAAAGGAACCATGTCTATCTAGTTCTATGCCTGCATGGGTCATGGTTAGGATCAGGCACGGTTCTGGATAGTCTCAGTGTGACACATACATACACACACAGAAACATGCACAGACACACACACTCACACACGCACACATTCACACACACACACACACATACACACACTCACACCACACACACACACCACACACACACACAAACACTCACTCACACACACTCACAAACACACACAAACACTCACTCACACACAAACACTCACTCACACACACACACCAAACACACACATGCACACTCACACGAACACACACACATACACACACACGCACGCACGCACACGCCCGCGTAGACACACACACACACACATACCCAAACACACACACATACACACACACACACACATACACACACACACACACACACACATACATGCACACACACAAACACACACACACATTTATACCCCACAGAATACCAGTCTGTGG